TAACCCCCCCCCCCTCTTTACCCCTCCCGCGCCGCTCGTTGGCCTGACTACACTAGAATCTCAGCACGTCATTTTCTCCTCTTCATTTTCTTCTCGTGAATCGGGCACCAAATAATTAACCCTTTGACTGGCGCTCACGCTATCAATCTGTCCGTTCCGCTGATTCGCGATTTTATAATGTTCTTCAGACATTGATACCCAGATGTTTTATTGTTTATTGACGACGGTTCAATTTTGAACGACTATAACTCTTTCTGTTCATTTTATAATAATTACCTGCGAGATAAAAGGAAGATAATACAATAATCGCTAAATAATTTAAAATTCAGTTCTAAATAAAATTCAATTAAGTACGAATATAAAATAATACGAGTTTTATTTCTCACGAGAAGAATTCAATTTTAAACAATATGTATATATACATTTTTTAGGTAAATATGGTACACTTTTGTAATTTTCTGATCTCTGAGCAGCAAGTAGGATCTCGTCACGCCAGCGTGCGCCACTTTCTTTCCTCATAATAATTGAACTTCTACATTGAAACAACATCGTTGATACCGAAAAGTGAATCTGGTGAGAACCGAGAGTAGACCAAGCGTGCGAAGAGCAGGTGCGAAATTACACGTCGGGCCCGGAGCCGTCTCTCTCATTAGACAATCGCGGAGCTTAAATCCGAAATGCGCATTCGTCAATCTGTCTGCTGCGTGCGTGCCCGCTCGGCAGCCAGAATGATAATATTGGAACGGGCGGCGATCGGGGCCGGTAATTACGCGCGCAGTCCCGCGAGAGAGGCGAGCCCCGCCGCATATATAACAACTAAATTTACATCAAGATCCAATCGGAGAAACGGGGAGAAGTTCCCTCCGCATAGTTGGAAAAGATATTCGAGACCGGCAATTAGCAGTGGCAATCTATTCCGCCCGCCAACGAATGCTAATCAAACGCTGATCAAGCGAATTCCCCGCGCGAAAGAGCGTGAAGACAGACTCGACAAAAATTGCGCTGCAATTTGCGCGCGCGCGCGTAAAAATAAAATCGAGATGAACAGTAGCACGACACACGGCGGATTTGAAAAGACATTCTCCGCGCGAAGAAAGGCTCCCCTCCTTTTCGTTCTCGCAGCGCAGCGCAGAGCGGATGCACGCTTCGAGTGGCTAATTTTCTTCCTTCTCTTCGTCGCCCCCTCCCCCTCGTCTAAGCCCTCTTCTATCTGCCTCCCTTTGCCGTAATTTTCCGTCTTTGTCTCGCGATACCTTCTCTCTTTCGTCCCGAGGATGAGACGTCCAGCGCGCGCTTTGATGGAGGACATCTCTCGCCGCTAATTATGATTAATTTGTGAGACGGGCGAGCGAGGACTTCGAGAACCCGAGAGCTACCGGGGACGCGGGGGATCAGGACGCGAAAGGACGGTGAGAAGGGACGGGAGGAAGGACGTAATTAATATTCTCAGCGGGACGGCGCTGCAACGTCATGTGAACGTCACCCAGGTGACTCCTACGTCGACGATTTCCCGTGTTCCTCCGGTGCGCGCAGCCTCTTTCGGCCGTTGCGCGCCGCGTAATTACGCGTTCAATATAATTGCGCGATGATTATTCACGACTGGTTATCATGCGCGCTTTTAATGCGCGTGTTATTAGATGCGAGAGGAGCGTTCGGTTGTTGAATGAAAATTATGTGTATTATAAAATGTGTTTAATGCTACACAGGCTATTCGCGTGTTCTCGATTCTGCAAAACAACCAAGTCAAATTTCTCAAAGATTATATCAATAAAATTTGTCACACGTTGCTGAAGGTTCTATATAAAAAAAATATTATCTTCGACTCTATTTTATTTTACAAGTTTTCGATATTCGGAGTCAGTTGGAATCACTAGCTTTGTTTCAATACGATTACGCGTTTTTTCGTGATTAATCAGCTTTTTTCTTTAACGCACGTACTATTAGATGATTGCCGAAGTATTTTTTTTATTACGTTAAGTATATTAAAAAAAAAACAGCAAGGATTAATTGATATTTCAAGTTTTATGATACAAAATTCATCAGCTATTGTCGACAATGCAATTATTTTAATAATCTTATTTCGTTTCTTTGCGGTCTCCCAATGTACGATGATTGTACGATCAATATAATTGCTAGCAATTATTGCTAATTACTGTTTAAATTACATTGCTCTGACATCACGTCGTCGTGAAGGTTTCACCGATTTTTTTTTAAATCACGCGTAACCGTAATTATGGATCAAATGTAATTACAAATAATTGTTTAGTAATTTGAGGTCGATTGTCGCTCTACAAAATTAAAAAGCTATTTATAACTTCTGCACAAGGTAAGTCTTCTGCGTTATCGCCGATTATTAAAATTGATTTTATAAAATTATATAGTGCTTGATAATCAAAGTATAATTATAAAATAAATAATTCTGAGAAATGCGTTCACTAATTAAAACTTCGATAAAAATTCATAACACATATTTTTCTTAATATAGTTAGAAAATGTTTGACGAGAAATAAAATATTACAAGTGTAATTTATTGCAAAAATACGAACTTCTGATTTTTCTTCAAGCTCAGCGCTAAAAATTCTGTCAATAAGATACTAAATTTTCAAATCACAATTATACAATACATGTATATGTTTTATTTAGAATTATTTTTCTTGAGAAATAAATTCAGGTTTTTCAAAGAAATACGTGACCAATATTATTGACTCGCGATATATCGGCGATTATTGCACGAATCAATTCGCGTACGAAGAACGAGAGGAATGGCAAGGGAGGGTTCGTGGTGGCGTAACGAAAGGGTTTAATTACGCGCGTCCCAGCGATGACGAAGACAAATACCTAAGTGTGATTGCCGCTAGTAAGCTCGTCGAGTTTTCGATCAGCTGGTCCCACAGCGTGACTAAAGTGCCTCGACGTGCTTCGATATAGCGCGAGAACGATGCCCATTACCAGCTAGACGCGATTGAGTTGCATCGGACACGTAAAGATTACTCTGCGTCGTAGCGCTGACGATTCAATAAAAAACGTTTCGTTTCACTGTGAACTATCCTGCGCTCTAAGATGGAGCTGGCAAACTTAGATTATCTCACGTTTCTGCGGCGCAATGATCGGATTTAAATTCGCACTGCACGCGATACGCCGCGTATCGACAAATATTTCCGCTATAAGTTATGTGTACATGTTGTGGCCCATTTGTTACAGCGCTCTGACACGTGGCAATGTCTTTTTAAAAGTCGATTTTTAGATGAAAACATTTTTTATCTTTTTCCTGTGCATATCTTTCTCTGCTTGGAATTAATTTCTAAGTTAACATCTTTTCGCGAAATTTGAAGATGACTGTTTATTACTAATTATAATAATTATAATGACACACTTCCAATATTGTTCTTACTTTGTTAAATATTACAATCTTCACACGTCAATTGCTTAGTGATCGCTTCGCATTTATGTTTTGTTAATTAAAACCGATTATTAAATTTACATATTTTCGACGAAAATATTCTTCTAACTATTTCACTAGTTGTCGCTGAATGTTGAATTGGTTTAAAAAAGAAAAACGTAAGTAGAAATGTGCATTCACATGTTCACGAGTCATTAATTATACGAAAAAGTGACGGCCTAAGTGACTTTTGATAAGTGTATCAATCTCTGCTATCTACAACTCACTTTGAAATTCCTACATTCCCGAATATTCCGACGACCTACAGGAGAGCAATCCGGCCAGGCATGACCGGCCGATCTTCCACGCTCTCGCTCGGCCATCCGACTTACGAGACCGACAGCGGAGGTGTCACGCCTAGTAGCCGCGCAGCTAGCCGCGTCGGAAGAGAAATTTTAATAAACGGTTCCCCGGCACACACACACACACACACACACCAATTCTCCGTATACACGCGCGCACACGCACGGCGCGCGAGGTGTGATGGTGTTGCCCGCTGCCTGGTAGCCGACAAGACGACGCGGCCGAAACGGGGGGAGGGGAGGTAGGTTAATCACCCACGCTGGATTTTAATAAACGGTTCGGGGGGCAAACAAAGCTGGCCATCAATAACCACGGCGCTGCCTCGCTCTCTCGCTCCCGCGCCCCGTCTTTATCCCGTCCTTCTCCCCGGCGTACCGGGGGCCCCACGGCCCACCTCGCCGGCTGACCAACCCGCGGCCATGCCAGGGCCTTTGCCACCAGCTTGTCGAGCTTCGCAGCGGACAGTGAGATAGGCGGAGATCGTATCTCCGTGGTTATTAATTAACCGGCGGGAAGGGAAGGCCCCCTTTCATCACCTCGCAAACGATCTCGCCTTCAGCGAACGAGCCGAGGGCCCTCGGCCTTGCCCTAGCATATATGTAGATGGCACGTACGCAGTCGTAACTCGGGCACCTCCTCGCTTCACGCACTCCGATCTCGCGCGGGAGGACATATTATTATTACAAATATGAGAATGAAAGTCGAAATTGTGTATTGTAGGTATTGTCAGACGTGACATCGCGAAAGATTCTACGAATGTCAGACGCGACGATCGCACGATATTGTCGCCTTGTGTCGAAATGCATACAGAATGCATTAATTAAATGTGCAATAATACGCTGTAATATTTGATGATTCGAACAATTGTAAAGCAAGAAATAAAGATCGTCTTTTTTTCTAGGAAATATTTGAGTTTTATGTAAAATCTTTTAAATTTTGATATTATTATATTTTATTTTATTATTATAATATTTTAGAAATAACATTTTGAGACATCGTGTGTCGAGAAGATATCAGAAATACGTAGAGAAGAAAGCATGGAATGGCTCGTTATCAATTGTTTAAAAATATATCTCGTATACTTATTGATAAAAATATATGCAAAAAAAATGGAAAAGCGAGATTTGCGCGTTTCCCAATAAACGATGGCAAATGTATCTCGATACGAAATTTGTGAAGTAGAATACATTGAGATTCGAAGCATCGAGATGTCTCGAGGAAAAATCAATATATGTTAAACGATATAATGGGCACTTACCCGTTTATGGACGTTCGACTGATGAACCAGGATAATGCCGATCTGGCTAACGAGTGCCAAGCCTGCAGGGGCAACGAGTCGGATCTCTCGGCGGATCTCACAAGGAAAATTTCAGCGGCTTTGTCGGGCTGGTCAGCATTAGGACCAGCACCGAGCGGGATCCACAGATCCAGCAAATCTTCTCTGATCTTGTTTTTATCCACTCTGTACCACTGTAAGAGTGATTATTCGTTTTGTTTCTATTCACCTTACGCTTTTCTCAACGAGATGTATAAATTTATCCTATTTAAATATTTGTGCAACGCTGTATATATAATATTAAATGACGGCAAATTATTTTCTGCATTTATTTCAATGCTATTCGTATTAAAATAATATCAGAACATTTATAAGCTAAAATTATCTCTTGTACGATAAATCCTTATATAGATATATAAACGTATAACACACACACACACATATATAAGAGAAAAAAAAATTAATAAACAAAAATAAGCGCTTAATGAAAATTGATTTTCTCAGAAATCTACGCAAAAAATCTTGCAGGCGAAACCATTCGATCGTTAACAATCATTGTACCGTACAAAGTGCATCAATTTGTGGGAATAAAATTCGCGAGGCTCCAGTACATTACATTAACGCTCACCGGGTGGGCCGCCCCGAAAATGTATTTCTCGCTTCATTACGGCCGCGTATTACGATATTAACGACGCATATATCCTTCAGTCGTGGATCAATTTTCCCCTTGCGATCGCACGACACTTCAAGTATTCGCGCAATTACGCGCCGCTGTATTTCCCCTGTCGCATCGCTTTTTGCCCTCGCAAATTACGTCCTCGTCGACATTTGTCGTCAATTCGGCGCGACGACGTAGAGTTTCGACATGCTAACGCGCGAAAATAAAAACCTGCGAAATCTTATATTTCATTAAGGCGCCGCGCGACGGAACGAGGGGGGGTGTCGCGTCGTGCCAAACATTTTTCGCTTCATTATCGAAGGCGCGTATCGCGACATTAACGATACTCCCTCTGCCTCACAGCCGCCGTCCTCGTCCTCGAGGAGAACCGCGAAACGCTACACAGTCCGAAAAGCAATTACGTTGACCGGCCGGCCGGCCGGCCGGTCGGTCCACCGGGCTCTCCGCGCTACACGACAGATATCCGATTTCACCGTCAGCTTCCAAGAATGAGAACCAATTACGCGGCCCCGGGACATTAAGGAATCGATCTAATTTGCGCGCTCAGCGCAAGGGCGCGGCGTGGAGCGGAGCGGCGGCTCTTAATAGCGAGAGCCGGCCGATGAAATTATACGAAAATGTAATCAAGGCGCTTTTTGTCTCGTTTCGCTCCGAGCGGGGCAGGGGCGTAATTAGGAATGCTTTTGCGCCTCGCGACGGGGGACACTTGTTGCTCCGCTCCGTTCCGCTCCTCTCCCGCTCTCTTATTTTCTCTCGCCCTCTCTTTCTCTTTTCTTCATTTCATCCGTTCTTTTCTCCCGTCTCTCTCTCTCTCTCTCTCTTCCGTCTCCGTTCATCTCGCGATCGTAAATCGCTACTTCCCCTTCTCTCTCCATCATTCTCGCTCTCTCTCTCTCTTCCCTCGCCTCTTCACACCAGTAAATTTCTCTCTTCCGCGCACGGCACTTCGGTAGTCGAAGGCTCGAAAAAGGAAGAAGAAGCCGGCAGCGAAAAAAGCCGGGAGATGGAAGAACCTCGCCACAGAAGGAGAGTAATTAACACCGTGGTGCCCAGGTGCGCGGCCCTAAGAAGTCGTTTATGGATTGCTCGGCTGCCGCGGCCGCGTAGCCGGCCATCAATTAGATTCTCTAATTAAAACAGTCCGCTCTTTCGCCGGTCATGCATTAACTCCCCGGGCCGAGCATTATCAAGTCCGCCACCGATCGACTTTGTCATCGTCCACCGGGCGGAGACGCGACGGATCATCGCGTTTCTTGTTCGTGGACCGAACAGCTTGCTCACTGCTCGAGCGAGAGCCGCGAAACCGCACACCTCAAGTCATTTGCGAAAGTGTACGAAACTGTTGCAAAACGCACAACCAATGCCGAAAGAGAGCAACCCGTGTTTCTACATTTTTAAAAGATATATCAAATCTCTCTCGACGATTCAAAATACTTTCCCAATGCATAGTGAATTGAGAGATTTAATATACAATTGTGAATTTAAAAAGTTTCGCAGTTATTATTAAAAATAAGTTATTATAAAAATTTAAACAATAACTTAAAGTTCTACATAATTATTTCCGTCAGGTGACTTCTCGATTTCTTGAAAAAAAAAAAAATTTGGTTGAGAAAGACGCCCTAGTTTTAAGCCCGTCATTACTAGAAAAACGTCTTACCACAATTCCAGAGCCACTCAGATCTTTTTATGACCAGAACACAGTAATCAGATTTTGACTGTGTTAAAAAAAGTGTGGTGAAACGCTTTTATAATAATGGCAAGTCTGAAAAAACTAACTGGATAATTTACAAACCAAAAGATTTTCTTGAGAGAATAAAAAACTGCCGAGTCTCGCTAAAAAAGTGTATTAAAGAACACAGTAATTAAGTAGAGAAATAAGCTGCTAATTTTGCATAATAAAATCTCGTTTTTCAGTATCAATTTTGCGGAAGCCTTTTCACTCGCGTCAAGTAATCGAAACAAAAAAAAAAAAAATGAAATTGCACGCTTATTCAACATTAGAATAAAATATTTACGATGCCTTGAACGTTGTACTTTTTCCGCTTCTATTCCGCTGTTCGCGGTGTACAAAAAGCTTCATCATCATCCCGGGAGTAGTACCGAAACAAACACGAGTCCAGCGATGCATGGAAGTGCGAAGGCGAGGCGTCTTTGTGGTGTCTGCGGCGCGAACGCAAAGAGGACGCCGCGCGTGCAATTTTAATTATGGCTACCAGCGTGTGTCACTAATTGCAGGTAGCCCGACGCCGCTCACCCCACGTCATCATACTTTGATTCAACTTTTTCCCCGAGGGGCATTACAAATGGCTACCGATGTGGTCGCGCGCGCTGCCGGACAGCATTCCTCTTCGTGTCATTAGTAGCGACTTTCTGCGCAGTGCCGTGTGTGCCTAAGGAGAGGAAGGAAGGAAGGAAGAATTCGCGCGCGCGGGACGCGGCGGACGGACGAGGATGAAGAAGGAAAGACAATCGACTTGCTATTCCGCGCACCTTCCGCGTAAGCCGTGTAGCATGCACCAATCGCGCGCCTCTCGCCACCGACAACAAGTAGCTGAAATCGCGGTTATCTAAATCAACGTCGCGCGTTCACCGCGACGAACCGGCGAAATCAACGTCCCGGAATCCGAGATACGCGCTGGCACATTTGCGTAATTAAGAACCCAAGTCCTACATAATTTTGGGATTTCGCGATGACTGCAATTTCGCAATCTGTTGTATTTATTTTCTACTCGCGGCATAAATAATTCTCGATTGTCAAAAAGTTCGACGGAGATATAATGCAGCTTGTCGAGAATTTCAAGAGTTAAAATTTTTTATTTAATGCAAAAAAGTCTAAAAATATGAGAGCGAGGAAATACGCGATTTTATACGATCTCATATGTAAAATAACAGGGAAACCGTGATCCTATTACATAATTACGTCTCGCAACAATGGCGAGAAGAAAGTCTCTGATTTGTGATTCATCGCATTTGATGATCATCGTCGAATTATGTACGAAAGTGCACCTCGTTCGCGATGGTTATGCCGTCGTTTTATGCTGGCGCGGAACGATGTATGAGAAAACTTGTAAAATGTAAATGTGAAACGTACAAACTGTAACATCGGGCTATCATTTGGCTGGACTATGTTTCGCGACATGTGTTACTGAATCGACATGTCCTTACCGAATTGTTTACGTGCATTGCAACTCGGGTTACATGATGTATCGCAACAATAAATCTGCTAGTTTTCAATCTTCAACGGCTTTTCTTGCGACACCATTTGCTTTCTTATATTTAATATTCTAATTCTTTTTAATAAAATATGCTACTATGATTTAAACAGAATTTAAAAAAAACCTAGTTTTCTTTCTTACATAAATATCTACAAACATATAAAATTTTTACAAACCTTTATTTATATCCAATTAATAAATAAAGTCCAAGTCATTAATTTAAAGACCATTTGTGGCTTTAAGTATCGATGCAAGAATGTGCGACACTTTATATCGCGATCAATGATAAATAAAAACTGATAGAATGTATTTCTAAAAATAGTCAGAAAATTTCAGTCAAGAGTTAAATCAACGCATTTGATCAGCTATGCTCAAAACACGCTATTGTTCCCGACGAGATGGAGAACTGCCAAAGGTCCAGCAGCAGGTCGCGCGTATATTCTCTTTTTCTCGAAATCCCTCGCTCCGAAGAACAAGAGAACCGAAAGGGAGCGAAGCACGCGTAAACCCAACGCAAACTACGAGCGATAAACAACGTCGTCGAGCAGTTTATGCTTTTCACGCGGAATACTGAGGATGTTTGGCTGCTCGGATACGCGGAGCTCCTCGGATTCCTGAGACGTGTTGGATCGCAAGTCAAACGAATTCTTTTCCCGTGCCATTATGTAATTTCTGCCAGGTCGGCGGCAAGCCGACGAGCGTTATATCGGCGCCGTGGGAGAGAAGCATCCGAGAGAGCGCGGAAGCTCGTCTTCGGAACCGATTTTTTTCCTCCGAGGAAAACGAGAGAAATGTTCTCCTCGCTGCGGCGAGAACACGTGACGGGATTTCAAACCACTTACAAAAGGGATTTAATCGCTCGAGACCGAAATTAGAAATTATGTTCGAACGAAACGTCGGATGCTCGCACACGGAGAGTATTACGAAAATAATTGCTTTCGTGTAAATATAATTGTTGTAAATAATCGCTTAAATGTGAATATTGTAGGTTTGGTTTACAAAATATTAAGACTCAAATTTTATCTTTTTATTTTTAGAGATGTAAAAATGCGCACAAGTCTCACGAAATGTTTTTCTGTAACTCTCTAACACGACAATAATATTTTTCACATTTCCATTAAAATATTTTATTCATATCTACTTATATCTATTTTTAAATCTGGTCAATGAAATAATATATTCAATAGCGAAGTTTAAGTAATGGAAATTCAAATGAGAATATTTCCGCGCCAAGAAGTCAAATTGAACAGTTATAATCACGCGTTAAAGTCTGGCTCTGACGAAACGTTCTAACGAAGAGCAATCGGCGGGAAACTGAAGGAGCGGCAAAAGAGCGCGAGGCGCAAGTTACCCCTTTCGCAAAAATCACATGAAGGGAGCGTTGCGCGAGTGTCTTGATTGGGAAAGCAACGGCGGTGTAACTAACCGTGAGTTTTCATCGAGATCGACGATCGGCTAACGAACTCAGCCGCGCCTAGAATATCAGTTCGTTTGCGCCAAAAAGAGAGGCGTTTAGATCCGAAAAACACCTTTAAGGCAATGCGGACAATCGTGGCGGAGATAATCAACACATCACGCATGTTCGCGTTTCATCCTAATTTTAGTAAAACTAAAGTATCTTCCATCAATTGCACATTTCGATACAAAAAGTTTTGTATGAAGAAAACATCTTCAATAGTGAATTTTCTTTCAATTATATGTAGTTCACTGAAGATATTATTATGTTTCAATTCAAAGATTCTTGTGTAATTGTGTTATTTTTCTTCCCACTTTAATTTAATTAAATTTTTATTTTATGCATTTTTCTATATTTAAATTTCTCTATTTTACATTCAATAAGATAAAGGAATACTAGAGAAATATTTGAGAAAAAAAGGTGTAAAATATACAAGTTCAATCGTCCATGCTGGGGTTAACAAATGATTGCAGTGTAACGAATATATATAATTTTTCATATCGCTCCAAGTTAAAGAGAGCAGCTATATGTGATGCACGAACGGACGGTTCTGATAAAGTATAGATCGCTATCAGACGTAAGCAGACGTAAGCACAACGCGAACACACACGAGCAGACAATAAGATCCGTCCGATAGTCCGTTTTTTCGACGTGCAGCACGAGGTCAATCATGCGTGAAACATTCGTCGACGCGGAAGGGAGCTCTCTCTTGTCGGATACGTTCCTGGACACGCCGCGTCGTATTGTGCCCCTGAGGAACATTTCGAGAACGAACCGATAACAATCTGTGTGCGTCTCGCGGCTTCGTTATCCGATCCATATTATAGCGGCGCGCGCGAAATAACTCGCAAATTATAATGCACGGCTCTCCTCGCAGCCGCATCCTCGCCGTGCGGAGAACTCCTCCGATTTCAGCGCGGCTGGTCCCGTTTTCCGCGCTCCTGCAGTCGCGTTCTTTCAATTCGCGCTTCACGTCAAACGTCGATCAAAACTCTCTTTCGCGTAACTGAAAATTGCGAGTAACTAAGAGACATTTCGGAATGCACTAGAACAAAAAATGTCTTAAAAAATGGACTAAGGATATACAGATAGTAACTGAAAAGTTTATAGCAAAAATATATTGTTGCTGAAGACACATTATTCGTTTAAAAGCTTATGCATCTGCAATATTCTTTTTGCCGAACAATATATTAAACAGAGCTGCGTAATCTGTTAGCGTAATTCTTTCTCTGTTGCGCGAATACAGCAAGCGCGAACTAAAAAAAATGCGCTCGTAAAAAAATAGGAGGGAATAAGAAGTCCGAGAAAACAAGGCTAACGAGATCTCTCTCATCTCCGCCGTTCTCACAAAGGCGGTTCCGTGCAATTTCAAAGTCAACGCTTTAAATCTAGGTTTCAGTTTCTCGCGCGAACTTTCGGCGACGCACAAAGCGCATCTCTCGACCGCGCTTACTTGGCCGAGTGTTATTTCCACCCGCGAACCGGTATCGCTTGCCTCATGTGTGAAGAGAGGCGAAAAAGTGTGACTGTATTCATCAGAATCATTTTCCTGAAGTTTCTATCGCTATTTATAATAAATATATTTGTGACGAGCGTGAAACGGTTGAAAAGTTAAAGAATATTATTATAGAAAAAAATATGTTTCAGTATGCCTTGACTTTTACATAACCTTTAAATTCTGCAAACGCGCCACAGAACTATTTTTATTTAATATCTTCATCGATAAACTCCGTGAAACTTAGTGATCTCCGATGAATTACCATTTCATGCTCGACGAACCAATACAAAGGTATTAGAGATTTTTCAAGTTAAATTTTCGAAAATGAAAAATATGTTTTGACAAAACTATGCAAGTTATACATCTGCATATTTTTAATAAATTTTTAAATACTTATGTTATAATAAATGAATTCTGCACATCGTAATACGTAGTTTCGCGGAAAATAATACTTATTGTGCTTCTGAAACGCGACCGTGCAAAGGTTAATAGCATTGTCCATTTTCACATTGTTAGAGAGTTAAGCGTCCGTTCGTAGAAATCAGTTTCCTGATATAACCGGTTCACGCGCGCGCGCGTGAGCCACATACGATTATGCGGCGCGATAAGCGGAGATTCGCCGGTCATCTGAATTTATCGCGGAACCTCCTTCGTCAAGATTCTTCTGCGCGATGTCGGATCGGACCGGGCGAGAAGGAAGAGCGCCGCGAGAGAAGGCACGAGGCTCCAGGACCGCGCCGGAGCCATAAACGCGCGCGCGAAGCGTATCAGCCGCTCGGTTCCCCAAACAATCGCGCTGCGATAACACATCTAGCATTGTGCGGCAGCTCTGTTTACGCTGTAGCGAATGAGCCGACGTAATGATCACTGAATCGGAGGGCGGAAGAAAAGGACGTTACTGGCATTGCCGTTTATAACGGCCGCCATGCATGCGGGTGAGTACACGATCGATAGACTCGTTTTAATTATTATAATTAAAGATAATTGAAGATTGAAAATTATCTAATCGTGTTAGCATTGTTTTAGACTTTGTTCTGATCGGTCAATTTTCAATTCAATCTCCAATGCACAGTCTGATACAGGCTTAAAGTGGCGCCATTTTACTAGATTACAAACTTGGTTAATCTTATCGAAATCGATGAGTAATAAAGTGACGAATATAAAACGTATAAAGTTTATTTTCACGATCACTTTGGCAATTACTTTGACGACAAGTACATCCTAAGAGAACAATTGAGATGAAGGATCTAAAGAAGACCCTGGAACGTTTTACTTGTGAAGAGTTGAAACAGGAACTGAGGGACAGGGGTTTGTGCACGAGTGGTAATAAGGAATTACTCATATTCAGATTATGTGAGTAAAGTAACAAATAAGCTAAATTAAAAGCGGATTCCTTATTTTATCCGAGATTTCTCACTTAAACTGCGATTACAAAAATTGTATATCAAATATCAAAAAATTAATTTTTCAAGAATTAATTTAATTCAAGATTTATCTATTGAAACATATCATATCTCAAAAATGATTTCAGATAAGTATTTCAAAAAAAGCTCAAATGACAGAGACTTGTTTGATTCCAAAATAAGAGAAAGAAAGAGAATTAATATAAGAGAAGAAATGCAGCTCGACATCATGAAACGTGAGAATAAGTCATTACGGCAGCAAATTAACAACATGATATGTGAAAAGGAATTGTTGAAAAAGAAATTTGACAAAATAAAACGTGAAAATAAGTCTCTGCAAGAAAAATACGACATCATGGAGGCAAAAAATGAGTCTTTGCAAGAAAAAATGCGTAACTATCGTGGCTGGCCAGAAGATACCGATATACCATATAATATACATTCCAAGATATTCTAATAATATACAGACTAATATATAAAATATAAAAATAAATAGCTGTTTGTACTTTATTTGGCTTAATGTTAAGGTGGTTCTTTAGTAAACTGCCGAAAATTTGGAGTGCTTCACCAAAGCTCTCACCACCCCAAAATCACAAATATCTGCATAATTTGGATAAAATATTAAAACTACGTGTATATCTTAATGAAATAGTATGAAACAAACGATATTTAGTATGCAAAAGTGATGAAATAAAAAGAAGTTGATTTGATATTTTGCCATTTCAACATTAAATATCTTTCCAAAATGGCTGTTGATCTATTACTTTTTTGTGACCATTACAATCGTAATTTTTTAAACTATTATAATCTTGTTTTTTAGAGAAATCTATGGTAATGTTTGTGTGCAGTTAGTCAAAGAAGCGTCTCCAACCCTTACCTGTCACTAAGTTATACGTTAAAAGTTACATTTTCAACATTTTTTTCTCTCTCATTTCATCGTTTACCTACCCTAGAATTTTGCACACGTCAAGTTCGATACTTCAACTTCATTATATAAAGAAATTAGAGATTTCTATGGTAACTCGATTTACTAAAGAACCACCTTAAACCAGCACCCCCCACTTTTAATTGTAAATTTGTGCCAAATGGCTCGAGAACTAAAATTAAAAATAGAGCTCCAAATTAGCATCTAAATAGCACTAAATTTTAATGTAAGTTTTATTTCAATTTTCTGTACTGGAAGTGCTAGCTTAACAGAGATCATTTTAAGACATAGACGTCTCGCGTTTACGACGACAAGATCGATAGCGTTACATGTGTGGTACGTTGCCCGTAAAATGTTACGCAAATTGTAATCATACTGTAACAGATCGTTTCGTGTAACACTTCCGCGAAGCGCGAGCCTTCTTCTGACGCGCACGGAACGCGAGTATAACATGTATACTATAGATTTGCCCGAG